ATCAGGCACTGTTTCTATCCTACCAACGTATGGTTCCCCATAGCTATAGCCGAAAACATGATCCATTAGGAGGATCTCCTCATTGCATCCAACACTGCCATGGCCTGTGGGGACGGGCTGGTATACCTCAAAGACCTCTAGAAGAGCCCGCGCTGGAGAAAACAGCAGAGATACTAGGTAGAATGCGACACCGAAAGAGACCAGCATGATCGCGGCTTTCCTGCAGGATGGGATCTACTCTGATCGGTGCGTTTCTAGAAGGATGTCTCTCTGTGGTGGTGCGACTATGTGGAAACTCCAGGGGGGCGACACGACTATGTACTGCAAGCCCCTGAGAAAGCCCCAATGCGCAAGAGAGATGCACTAAGTGCTAGTAGGGCTCAGCCAATTATGGTACTGATGCCTGTGAATGAGTGCAGTACAACGTCCATTGTTGACGCCCCAGGGGGTCGGGAAGGGTATTTGTATGAGGCCATGGTGCATGATACATTAGTAACTAGCTGTGTTTTGACGTGCTCTGCATGCGGATTTTCTTTAGCGTGCTTCTTGTTGACAGTGTACAACTAAGCCCGACTGTGATGGATCAAACCATGGCAGTTCCAAGCATAGTGCTATACGGCGATATATCGTCAGTCACACTTCAAGAAGACGTGCTAGTTTGAACAAAGCATGATCGTTGGCTATCTGGCAGGCGAGCTAGGACGCAATTACCCCTTGTTCTTGCTGTGAGCCGACGATAAGCTGCAGAAAGATATGGATGCCATTGGAGCGGCGCAGACGCGAGGTGTTGACTAGTAGTACTACCGAAGAGTGGAGCGAGAAGAACCTGGCAAAGACAGGAACGAAGAGCATGCCGGGCCAATCATTGCCTGATTGTAAATGAGGGTGTTTTCCCCCTCTTTTTGACGCCGGCGGCCCCCGTCGGTCCTCTGAGTATTACATGGCTTGTATGACACTGCATCGCTCTATTCTCCGCCCCCTTCATTTCCCTTATCACTGAAATCGCATGGTTCGTAATACCCCCACCTTTCTTCTGCAGCAGTCTTTAAGCGAACAGCCGATTTAATGCAGAATGAACCAACTAGTGGTGGTAACATAATACATGTCACGGTTTGGCATCATATCACTTCACAGCTCGCCTCGTTCCATGCCGGCCACAGGCTAATAGGAGTCCCATCCGACAGAATATGTACTACACCTCGGAAGATAACAAATAAAGCAATAGTATATATATAGAATGATTACGGAAGCCACCACATCGCTAATTAAACAAAAGAGAAGAGAAAACTAGCCACCAGTTCCTAATCCCGCCACATTTTTCGGGGGTAAGGAGTCAGAGTGGGGAGTTGATATGAAGGCAACAGACAAGGCATCTTGATCCGGCCGACTGGACCGAAAGCCCACAGAATGATAGGTTCACATGAAGAGACGCCAGGCACCAAGAATCAGAGCAGCGGTACCAGTGCATACACCCCTAGAGAAGATCCGTCAGCGTTGTATTTTGTGGAATGTCAGATACCACTTACATGAGCCACTGTAGTGTAGAGAACTTGACAGCCTCTACACGCTCTCTCAACCCAGCCACCTCCTGCTCAATTCTCGTTTCCGTCTCCTTTATACGCATTTCTTGGCCATTGGCTTCTTCCCGGATACGACCCTTCTCCAGATTCAGATCAAGTCGCACTGACGCCTGCGTGCGACCGATCTCGTCGCGTAGACGAGAGTTGAGTTTGGCGAGATCAGCGGCGATCTTCTCGTGCGACGAGCGAGTCAATTGCGCTTCGGTAGAATCTGCGTTGAGGAGCTCGGAGCGGAGTTTGGCAAAGTCGACCTTTTGTGTATAGGCTGATCGTTCCGTGTCTGTAGAAATGGACTTAGAATGGAAATGCTTTGGGTATAGCATGATAAACCACAGGAGTGACTAACCTTCCCGAAGCACCATTGTCCGAGTCAAGTTCTGGATGGACTCCTGAATGACGTCGTTCAGGACCCGCATCATGGCAACAGCCTGCTCTTCGCTAAAACCCTCATCTTTCAATCGCTGGACGAATTTCAATGTATCAAAGTGATGGTCGCGCTGGCGCGGAGCGGACGCATGAAAAGCTCTCCGAGCCGGGTTGAATGCAGCGACATAGACACCATTATGTCGGATGGGGTTCCCAAGGGGTGCGGCTGGTTGGCTGGGCGTCTTGGTTGTGGAAGGGAAGCGTCTTGCGATCGATGTGCCTAGATCTCGGGCTGCTGCGGGGAATGTTGAAGAGGCAGGGGAGGGGGATGTCGAGGTATGCAGTTGTCGTCCAGCAGAAATCCGACTCCGTACGATATACTGCTTTTGTTGGCGCTTCGCCGGTAGGGCGGTAGTCTGGGGAGAGGTAAAAGTAGTGCGAGTCGAGGAGCCGTTCCAAGTCAGACGGGGAATGAGGGAACGGGGCACCTCTGCCACCGATTTCTGAGGCGCCATGAGTCTCAGCTACGAGAAACGTGAGCCGGACAGTGGGGAATAGGGTAGGAGAAGAGATCTAGCCTGAAGCCGTGAAAACAGGCAAGCTGATTGAGTAGTTGAAGTTGAGTTGGATGTTCTTAGATGATCTAATCGTCGGGTTGCATCTCGGCGTGAGAGTGACTAACTCCGCCCGGTCTGCCATTCTGCCAGTCACCTCACCGCCCAGGTGGAGGGTCACACGTGACTCATTATCGGAGTATAGCGTCAGGTGACTCGGCAGTTTGTGGCTACCGAAATGCATGCCTGAACTCCCAGGCTGCAGAATAAATACATTTCCCAGGCACTTCATACAGAGAGTTAGTTTACTTCTTCTTCCTTCTATTCAACTTCCTCTCGCCAGTCAAGTGTGTTTGGAGGATCTCCCATCCGTCTATCTACCATGACATCTTGGGGATTCAAATTACCCCGTAAACCCCAGTGGCTTCTCCAGTGGGCTCCCCGCCACCAGTACCTGGGAGATGAAGACTGGAACTTAAAGATATAGCCGATGACTTCAACCATCGGCCGCCATCGGCTGTGTGGTCGGCAGTCAGTCGGATTCTCATTATAATGATTATTATCGCCGGTCACCCCGCCATCTGCCCCTCATCATTGATTTCGTTGCAGTTACTCTCTCTACTTCTCTTTGTGTCAGCTGTCCCTTAACATCATATTCAAAATGACGACTCCCGGCCTTCTCTGGGTGACGATGAACCCTCGTCCCTCCCTCCCTGCGGCCCAATTCCACGACTGGTATAATACCGAACACGGTCCTCTGCGCCTGCGTCTGCCCTTCTGCACCAATGGCTTCCGCTATCGCGCAACCGACGGCGAGGAGCCCGAGTGGGTGGCACTCTACGACATCACTGATATGGTTGAGTTGACGCGCGAGACCTACCTCGCCCTCCGCGGCGACACCATTAAGACCCCCCGGGAAAAGGCGACCATGGCCCAGATTGACGTCGATCGCCGGCTCTACGATACCGTTGTCGAGCAAAAGGCGGCTGATTACAAACCCCTCGAACTCACCCCCGACACCGAGGCTGCCGGCTCTGCCCTTGTCGCTGTCTCCCTCTCCCTCTCCTCCGCCGACGCCGCTAAGGAAGACGAGTTCACCCGCTGGTACCGTGAAGAGCACATCCCCATGCTGTCCCGCGTGCCCGGCTGGCGCTCTTCCCGCCTCTTCGTCACCTCCACCATCGACCCCAAAGCCCCGCGCGAATACCTCGCCGTGCACGAGTACGCTGCCCAGAATGGTCTGGGCGGTCCCGAATACAAGGCCGCCACCGACACTCCCTGGCGCACCCGCATAATGACCGACGTCGTGGCTAAGACCCGCCGTCGCACCTACCAGTGGGCCTACACCTTCGGACCCGCTCCCCGCGAGCTGTCCTCCTTGACTTCCCCGGATGTCATCGGTCCCTGGTCGTCCATTGACGGCAAAACCCGCACCTTGCCCTCTCCCACTCGCCCGGCCGTCGAGTCCTTCGTCACCACCCCCGACGGCGTCGAGCTCCCTTACCGCCTGGAGGGTAGCACCGACCCCCACAGCCCGGTCATCGTGCTCAGCAACTCCATCCTGGTGGACTACACCATCTGGGACGACTTTGTCGACCAGTTCCTCTCCGACCCTCGCAACCAAAACTTCCGCATTGTCCGGTACTGCACCCGTGGCCGGCAGCAAGAATGCGGCGAGAAGCCCGTCAACATCGATCTACTGGCCTCGGATATCATCGCGCTGCTGGATGCTCTGCGCGTTCCCAAGGCCACCCTTATCGGAGTCAGTCTGGGCGGTGTGACCGTGCTGAACACCTCCCTGCTGTACCCGGAGCGCGTGGAGCGCTTCATCTCCTGCGACACCAACAGCTCCAGCCCCGAGACGAACCGTAAGGCCTGGAACGAGCGTGTCGAGCTGGCAGCCAGCGAGGGCGCCGTGTCGCCCACCACGCAGCAGGCGATTGTCGGCGAGAAGCTGGCCGAAATTACTGTGCGGCGCTGGTTCACAGCTGAGTCGTACGAGACACAGCCCCATCTGCCCGCTAAGGCCAAGGAATTGGTGCGGACGAACAGTCTGCCCGGCTTCAGACAGAGCGTGCAGGCCCTGTGTGCGTATGATGTGCGGGACCGGATGGCACAGGCACAGGTGCCGGGCCTGTTTGTGGCCGGCGAGAGTGACGGTGTGCTGCCCAAGACGATGCAGCAGATGGTGGCAGACCTGAAGAGCAAGTCCGAGTTGAAGTTGGTGCCAAAGGCGGGTCATCTGCCGATGCTGGAAAATGCGACGGCATTTACGGAAGTGGTGAAGGAGTACCTGCACTAGGAGCAGCTGATGTAGTACACAGCTGTTATGTATATAGATGATCAGCGAATGACAAAGTTGATACATGGTATTTGGGTCAATCGTAATCTAATAGTAGTTTTGTAGGAAACTTGCCGATATCCGAGGTGCGGGGTCAGCTTATCTTCCCCTCTTCTCAACCATATATCCCTTATATTGTGATACTTCCCTGGTATCTCAATCTCCCAATCCCTAATCTCAACATTATCCATCAGATAGTAAACAACTCAAGCTACAATGGCCCAATACGAGCTTCCATTCCAAGTATGTCTCACTCCAACCCTGATCTCCCCATCCTCTAACTCACACATCTAGCTCTCCGACCCCTCCATCCTCCACTTCGATGCCTTCGTCAACAACACCTGGATCAAATCCCAGAGCAACCAGCACTTCGAAGTCATCGGTATGCCATCCCCCCCACCCCTATACCTTCATCTCCCCAAACCCCCATCCTAACCAAATCTCCAACCACAGACCCGGGCACCTCCCACCCCTGGGCCCAAATCCCCACCTGCACAACCCTCGACGTCCCCCACGCCGTAACCTCCGCACACACAGCATTCCTCACCTTCCGCCACACCACCGCGCGCTACCGCTCCGAGCTCCTCACAGCCTGGGACACCCTCATCCGTACGCACAAAACCGACCTCGCGAAAATCATCACCTACGAGACAGGCAAACCTCTCGCCGAAGCGCTCGGCGAGATCGACTACGCAACCTCCTTCACGCGATGGTTCTCCGGCGAAGCCGAGCGCGTCTCCGGCACAATCAGCTCCTCCGCCGTACCCGGCCGTCGCATCATGACGATCAAGCAGCCCATCGGCGTAGCGGCCGCGCTAGTACCGTGGAACTTCCCTGTGGCGATGGTGCTGAGGAAGGTCGCGGCGGCGATCGCGGCGGGGTGTACGATGATTGTGAAGCCGTCTCCGGAGAGTCCTGTGTCTGCGTTGGCGATTGCGGGGTTAGCTATGCAGGCGGGGTTCCCGGCGGGGGTGGTGAATGTGTTGACGACGGATATGGAGAATACGCCTTCGCTGAGTGAGGCGTTGTGTCGACATGAGTTGGTGAAGAAGGTGACGTTTACGGGGTCGACGAGGGTGGGGAAGTTGATTGCGGGGATTTGTGCGGATGGGTTGAAGAAGGTTACGTTGGAGTTGGGGGGGAATTGTCCGTTTATTGTGTTTGAGGATGCGGATTTGGAGAATGCTGTGGCGGCGTTGATGAATCTGAAGTGGAGGCATGCGGGCCAGGCGTGTATTACGGCGAATAGGGTGTATGTGCAGCGGGGGGTTTATGAAAGGTTTGCGGGGTTGTTGAGGGAGAGGACGGAGAAGTTGGTTGTCGGGCATGGGATGGAGGAAGGGGTGGGGATGGGGCCGTTGACGACGGAGAGGGGGGTGGGGAAGGCGGAGATGCAGATTGAGGATGCGAGGAGGTTGGGCGCTGAGGTTATTTTGGGTGGTGGGAAGGTGGAGGGGAAGAAGGGGTATTTCTTCCAGCCGACGATTCTGACGGGCATGACGAAGGAGATGTTGGTTAGTCGGGAAGAGACGTTTGCGCCGGTGGCGGCGTTGTATGCGTTTGATACGGAGGATGAGGCCGTGCAGTGGGCGAATGATACTAGTATGGGGCTGGCGAGTTATGCGTTTACGAAAGATGCGGATCGCTTGTGGAGGTTGTTTGAGAAGCTGGAGGCCGGTATGGTGGGCTTGAATACGGGGAGTATGTCGGCTGCGGAGGCGCCGTTTGGGGGTATGAAGGAGAGTGGGTATGGTAAGGAGAGTGGGAAGGATGTGGCTGTGGATGAGTATTTGGTTACCAAGACGGGGACGTTGACGGTGCAGGGACATTATTAGGGTTGGCTTTTGGTTTTGGGGGTGCCTGAGGCTAAATTGACCGCTAGCTAGTATGAACATGTTGGCATCAAATTCTTCATGTGTACATGGATGTTTAATCCACCCGGTCCAGCTTCTGCACGACCATCGCGCTAGCTGCTCCGCCGCCATTGCAGATGGCTGCCACGCCGTACTCTCCTGGCTGTAGCTGGTGCAGCAGCGTCACCAGGATGCGCGAGCCCGAGCTGCCCAGCGCATGACCCAGCGAGATGGCTCCACCCAGCGGGTTGACTCGCGCGTTTTGCAGTCCCAGAATCTGTCTGGTTAGCCATATTCAATGAATGTGAAAAGCATAAGTGTAGTACTCACCTTCTCGTTGGCCTTGATCACCGCCGCGAATGCCTCGTTGAACTCCCAAATCGCCACCTGCTCCTTGCTGATGCCCGCGCGCTCCAGCGCAATCGGCACCGCCTTGGCCGGGGCCACAGGGAAATCGACAGGGTCAATAGCGGCATCAGAAGTAGAAACAATCCTTGCCAGAGCACGATTTCCCGTGCCAAACTCCCTCGCCAGCTCACGACTAGCCACCACCACGGCGGACGCGCCATCATTCATCGTGGACGCGTTACCCGCCGTGACGGTGCCAGTGCCGTCACGCAAGAACGCAGGCTTCAATCCGCGCAGCTTATCTGCCTTGAGGTTCTCAAAGCCCTCATCCCTTTCCACCACCGTATCACCCTTCTTGCCCTTCACCGTCACTGGGGCAATCTCCTCGCTAAACAATCCCTCCGCCCACGCCTTCTGTGCCCGCTCGTACGACTGAATAGCAAAATCGTCCTGCTCTTCCCGTGACACTTCATACTTCTTTGCCGTCTGCTCTGCGCAAATGCCCATATGAATTTGGTTGTACACATCCCACAGCCCGTCCTTAATTAGGCCATCTTCGAGCTTGATCTCCCCGAAAGGAGGCAGCTGACTAGACCGTGCCATGTAGTACGGCACACGCGACATATTTTCCATACCACCGGCTACTTGTGCTTCCGCTAGTCCGAGCTGGATGTTCTGGGCCGCCAGAGCGACGGCCTTTAGGCCGGATGCGCATACTTTGTTCACGGTTAGGGCTTCAACGGTGGGGGCGAGGCCGGCGAAGATGGAGGCTTGACGCGCGGGTGCTTGACCCACAGAGCCTTGGAGAACATTGCCCATGTATACGTCTGTGATCTTCTCGACAGGGAGGTTGGATTTGCTGACTGCGGATTTGATGGCCACGGCGCCGAGTTGGGGGGCCGGGACAGAGACGAAGGAGCCGTTGAACTGTATTCCGATTAGTATGGCTGTAAACGCTGGGTGCAGAGAAACGTGCCTTGGCGGTTGGAGTGCGCGCCGCACTGAGAATGTAGGCATCTTGGATCTCCTTCAGAGCCGGTCGAGCGGCGCTGAAGTGTCGACGCCATTGGCGTGCGGGGATGGTTCGCGGGGTTAGACGGGAGGCAAGCATTGTGGGTATCAGTAATAGGAGATAAAGTGGAAAATAACTAGGCTTAAATAAGGTAGCGATGACAATGAGATAGTGGGATGAAGCAAGAAGCAGGTAGATTTGAAGTAGTACAGGAGAGTGATGAGAGATGGGATGAGATGCACATGCATGCTTGCTGCTTCTCCTCTTCTCCGCCCGCCGGCCCGCCGCTAACCGCTGCCGAGGTCCCCTTGAGGTCACGTGGTGATAGTCATGTGGGGAACTGTCCCCAGCCTACATCTTACCTGCTCCTTGCTTCAACTCTCAGTTAAACGACATATATCATTTTCTATCCTTGTAGCGTTTCTCAAATAATAAATAATGTTCTTCTTTTCTTACCAAGACAATAAGCACGGTCAACATAAGGAATAGCCCGAAAAATGTCCACTACTAACAACATCTTACAACTTCCGAAATGACCCTAATTCTTACAGCCACCTCCAGACACGCCCCGAACCACCTTCATTCCTAAACACCCGTTCATCGCCCGACTCGAACCCCCCATACCGCTCAGTCTGGCGCATTCTGGGTCTCCATCGCCCTCTCGGCGGTGAAAGTGATACGATCCTCGGCCTCGCGCCTGTTCCCAGCTCCTCCCTCCCCATCCCACGTCTGGGCCGACGCTCCACCCGCCAACCGCTCCCCTCTAAACCCACCCTAGCAGCCCGTCCAGACCATGAACTGCTTCTCCCGGGTTCAACTTCGTGAATGTCAACGGCTTCCCGGTTCACTAGCGGCGTGATTCCTCCTGGTCGGTACCTGCGCGGAGTCACAATCAGCACCTCAACGCCCGCGGGATATGAACGACTCGCAGCAGGAGACGCATACACATATCGGGTTCTTTGGGAGCTTGAATCACCTCGTCCTTCTCTTACTCTTGGTGTAGGCCCCGGAGTTGGGGACCTACGGCGACTTGCGCTGGCAAATTGTCTATAGAAGCGCGGAGGACCGGTAGGAGACGAGGGAGCATTGCTCTCTCCGGATATAGAAAGATGATCCACTATGTCAGAAAACTGCACATGGCGGGGTCCACTCCCTGGAGATGTGGTGTTTGACGTTGTAACTGGTTTGGGGCCGCTGTCTGGAGCTGGGGGGTTGTGCACCTCCACCGGAACGGTTGGGGTGGAACGTGTGTTGCGAATTGGGACACGCTCGACAGATGGGGAACGCTCCCTGGGGCGTCGCTCTTTCTTTTTGGGAGGGGTGACAGGTGCTGCTGGAGCATTAGTACTTGGTGCACCTTCTGGTGATGGGTGCGGCTGTGGCTCCTGAGGTTTTGCTTGTCCTGGGGATACTGATGGACTTGGTCGTGGCTCCTTGCGACGCCAGGTGGAGGGGCCTGGAGATGGGGATCTACTGTGCCATGGATTCCTGAATTGATAGCCAGATGAGCCTGGAGAAGGGATTGGGCTTGGTCGTGGCTTTGGCTCCTGATGAATAATGACTGGACGACGGAAGGTACCTGGATCCCGGGGTGAGAGAGAAGGCGAAGCAGGTGACCTTCCGGGCCGTGGTCGCAGTGGTTCCTCCTTGTATAGAGGCTCTTGTGGTGGGGTGACCACCCTGACTTTCGAATTTAGAGGCCGTCTCCTTGGAACGCTCCGGGGTTCACGTTTGATGGGCGGTACATCCCGTGCCATAGTGACTGGCCGAGGCAACCGTTCCCGACCTCGCGGCCGATATTCGTCGTTCTTCCCCACGTCATCGCTGTCAGATGCTCGTCGAAGGAACGGAAAGAAAACTCGAAAAGGGTCACTTCGTCGCGAGGGCATCCGTCGCGGATAGTTTGGGGACTGTCTCCGCCGCGCCGGCTCCCGCGGATCGACGATCAGATCGCGCAGTGACTGCATGGCCGGTCGATAAGTACTTCTGGGTTTCCCGTACTGAAACTGACTGGCCGGGCGCTCAGGGATGCGCTCGCCAGGGCTGACCACCTGGGTGCGATAACAGTACCCTAACGATCTCCCCAAGAGGCACCGCTGAAGGACCCGCCTTCGTCGGACGTCAGGGTACGAGGCGGTATATTCTTCGACAATACACATGCCCTATCTTGCGCTGCGATGCTGGATCAGACTCGGATCTTGCGGTAGTAGGTGGTATGAGGCGTAGGCGTAGACGTATGGTAACAGCCGCTTTCGCGCGGTAGGGTCCGTAGAGCTCACTACTATAGATGGACAGGGCACATTGTGGCAGCGCGCAAAAGCAGACGAAGGTACTGTTTTCATTTGAGAAATTTGTAGTAAACAGCACGTTGCGACGATGTCATGGATCCAAGACATGTGGGTGAAGTCATGGGTTCACCGCGCCTGATAAGTGAAGGAGGGGGGAAGGATGGGAAAGGGAAGGGGAAGGTGAACTGCGCGTGTGTCCACAGGTGAAGAGGGCAGACGGAAAGGAGGAAATCACAAAACAAAGGAAGGGAAGGGCAGAATTAAAATAGCAAACGATCCCATCAAGAAGATGATCGTTCCTGATGATGAAGATTCAGGTCGGGTGGGAGCTGCGACTCGGTGGAATTCTTATAAAGTTAAATGATATTGCAAATCGCAGCAACAATGACCGCACGTCAGGATCAGCCGGGGCATAGCTGCTTTTCGCTACTCTCATCGAACCAACTGTTGTGGCTCAGCTGCGAGGGGGGTCTGTTGCGGTTTGCTTGAGCAAGGTGTCACGGCTGGAGCTTTCTCCAGCCTTACCAACAGCCCAGGATGTTGTGTGCGTAGTGGATGCAGAGGCAGAGGCAGAGGCAGTGTGGCGATGGAGTGTGGCTGCTCGGGTCGGTCACAGGGCAAGCAAAGAAATCAGTCAGCCGGGCACCAGGGGAGAGGTCAAGAGGATTCCCCTGAGGACAGATGACATCAGTTTGTCTACTACATGACCACCAACTCTACAGATTTACTAACGAGCAGTAAAAGAAAAAAAAATGTAGAACGAGTGGACCACAGCAGAGCAGAGCCTCTATGGATCTTCAACGCAGGGAGGCTGTGGGATGCGGCAAGCAACGTGGGACGCGGTTGACATGCATGTCTGCCTAATGGGTCTGCATTATTCACTGGTCTGGATGCGATCGCGCAGAGCCTAGACAACAACCTGGGAGTAACTCGAATGGCCAATGGTCCTCGACGAAACTAGCGGTCGGCGACAGGCAGAGAGCCCTGGTCCGTTCTGCCTAGCGCCAGCCTGTTTTCCTTCCTAACTGGTGACGGGTTATCCATGTCCCGTTAGGGCTTGGGTTGCAAATTCTTGGATTTTTGGAGATCATATAGTGGCGCAAACATGACGGACCGACCCGACGCATATCATTCCATGATTCCATTCTCACTTAGCTCCGCTACAGCCTCATTGCGCGATAAACAATGGCATTCATTCACATGCACCAACATATAGTCGAGAGGGTATCCCTATTTTATTGGACTAATCGAACCTCTACTGCCGCCTCACTCCATCCCAATTAATAAATCAACTTGGCCTCAACGGAAAATAAAGCCGCACCTCGTCATCGACCTCATAATCCACCTTCAACTTCTCACTCCACACTTTTCAGCCTCATCATGACTCCACCTCTTCAAACCCG